CGTATTCGTGGAAAGGACGAAAGAGTTGAAAAATCAACGGGAGATTTCTGCGTTTTACCACGCAGAATCAATGTGGATATTGGAAGCGAAAAAGAAAAGGCGGAACCTAGGTTGGGACCTGCATTAGCACGAAGGTAGGCCATCTGATAGTTGAGTAACATCAAGAATCAAGATCCATTTCGAGGCTCAAAGTAAAATACAGGAGGTCTGTAAAGTGAATGTGTCCCTGAACATAAAAAAATTGACTTATGAGCAAAGATGAAAACAATAAATGCAGGTTTTTCCCTCTTCCTCTTGTTATGATGCTCATCGAAATTCCCAATTTTAAACTAGATTCTGAAGCAGTAATCTTCAAATACTACCTGTATCATTGATTCATTTGGAGATCGGCTTGAGCAGATGAAATCTCGCGCAACCTCCTCGCTTGGGTCCTGCCCTCTTTCGCAAACGTGCTCTATAGTCATTTTTGCACGCTTAATCAGCGACTCTCGATCTTTCCCACTCTCAGGTGTGGAAAATGGTCAGAAAGCACGTTCACGAAAGAGATAAGAGCACAATCGAAGTGATCGCGCGAAATTCGGGTTACACGAGCCCATTGAATGGGCGCGGAAGTTTCTCACCCGAGTCATATTTTCGCACCTAAGTGATGTGCCTGCCAGGCACATTCGGAGTCGCTATAATTACAAGCTCCTCAGAGGATCAAAACATCGCAAGCCCCGTTCCTTATCCAGAGTCGCTCCAGATGCTGAAATCGGAATTTTGATAAAACTTTCAAAATTGAAGTTCAGAATTAAATTTGCTCCAATCAAGACCAAATTTCGGATGCAAGGGTTTTCGAGGTTGCTCCTATCAGTAGTGAGATTTGTTTCGAATCCGAATCGTTACTTGAACTCCTTCTGAGGATTGATATGAAAGTTTTAAAAAATCGTGAAACATGACCATCTCAAAAAGCATGGGTCGCAGACTTTGGTTATTTTCTAAAAGCTCATTGACTGTTTTGCAACAGTTTTATAACCATTAGAAAGAGAATGAAATTCTACATCGAACGCTACCAAGACCTCCTAGAAAGGTTTGTTCCATCGACTGTGGCAACCGTTTGAAAAAAGCGAAAATACTTTCGGGACGACCTAATACGTATATGAAACTGTAGTGGTTTTTCCCCTGAACTCATTCTCAAGAATATGTCAAGATACAGCTCTGATAATGACCCAGCCAATTATCTCTTCAAACTTGTTAATCATAGATCACTGAGGTCATCGAGGCTGGCTCAATGCCTAAAGCTTTATAGTAAACCTAGAAGCTCAGAATGGTGTGAAACAGCAGAGGAAAACTATTTGTAATTTTGAAAACAACCAATATAAATCTGCCACTTTTAAGAAAAATTTTAGTGGGAAATATAGCCACGCTTAACAAGCGACTGGAAGAAGAAAACATCTTCAGGAAAAATGGTTTATCGCAAAAGTTCAGCATTACCGCTTTCAAATTTAGATCATGATTTTTTAACAAAATTGTGTTGCTTTCACATCAACCTTCCAACGCAAGACTATGAGTGGACCATTGAAAAAAATATCATGGCTTAGATCGTGGATACTTTGTTTATAGTTAAAGTGAACTTATTCCAAATCTTATACAGGGTGTCCCAAAAAGATGTGCACACTGTTTGATTGTAAATAACTTTTTTGTGGTGAAGTGTTTCAAGAAGCTTTAAGAACCATTTTGTAGAGCGAGGTTCAACTTAGATTTACAGTGTAGAGCGGATCGCCGATCTCTCATTCTTACTGTAGGATTACGGTAGAAACTTTGAAGAGGGTTTTGAGCCATGAAAGGCCATATTTTGTTCCAAAAAAAAACCAAAACAACCTGAAAATTCTCACACTAAGCTAACTAGAGTTGCTGTTTCTAAATGTGAAGTTTGCAACTCTTCTTAATGCTTCATTAGAAAATTATGCGAGGTAAGCAGTAGCAGACGTTTTTTAAATGTTCCTAAAAAGTGCGGTTACACCGTTTAGAAAGATTTTCAACCTTGTAAAGAGTTGGGTATTGAACTCAGGGTTCATAAAAACCCTATTACACAAATTTCCACATTTTTTTGAAAATTTTTGAAACGGCTCCTTTTTTCACGGTGACACCATATGTTTGAAATTTCTACCGTACTCCTACAGTAAGAATGAAAGACAGGCGTTTCGCTCTACACTGTAAATCTAAGTTGAACCTCGCTCTACAAAATGGTACCTAAAGCTTCTCGAAACACTTCACTACAAGAGAGTTATTTACAATCAAACAGTGTGCACATCTTTTTGGGACACCCTGTATATAAAGCTGAATGTCTGTTTGTCTGTCTGTCTGTCTGTATGTCTGTATGTCTGTCTGTAGTCTGTCTGTACGTATGTTCCGAATAGAAAATTCCATTTCTGAACCGATCCGGACCAAACTTGGCACACATACACTACGGGCCCCGGCGGGTGTCACAGTCCACTTTTCGTTATTGATCGATGTCGATTTAATCGTTTTTTTGCCAAAATTTGAGCTACGGGGCTGGAATTTGGCAGAGGGGTGTAATCGAGCATGCTGATCACCCCCGTGGGGGTGATTGTTCCAAAAATGGAAAGTAGGAACCATTTTCTGAGGTGAATGTTTCTCCACGCAAGTTTGATAAAAATCACGGATAAACAAATCTTCAGACGATACGCTTTGGCAATTTACCTCAGAGGCCTCAAAGGCCTTTAAGGCCTTTCTCAGAGGCCTAAAAGTAAGTCTATCCTTATTTTTTTCTGTTAAATACTGTCAAAATTCTTTTCCACACTTATATTTCCGAGCTATCTCGAGTGGGCTTTTTGGCTGAATTACCATCTTCAAGAAGAAAGATTCCATTACTCAAAGTTATTTACCTTAGGTCATTTTGCACTTCAATAAGTGCGAATGGTAAAGTAGTCTTTCGATTGTTTCAGAGTTGTAGTTGTAAATATCACGAATTTTAAACAATTTTAGGCTTAGTTTGCAAATACATGCTATCAGAATGACTTCAAAAGAGGGAATCACTGACAATGTTCAGCACAAAACTTTTTTAGATGAAATTGGATCTTAAAATTTTGCTAACTGGCACAGGGGGTAAGCGAACATGCTGATCACCCCCGTGGGGGTGATCAGCATGCTCGATTACACCCCTCTGCCAAATTCCAGCCCCGTAGCTCAAATTTTGGCAAAAAATCGATAAAATCGACATCGATCAATAACGAAAAGTGGACTCTGTGACACCGGGGCCGAAGTGTATGTGTGCCAAGTTGTGTGCCAAGTTGGTCCGGATCGGCTAAGAATTGGAATTTTCTATTCGGAACATACGGCGGAGCCGGGTAAGCCAACTAGTACGTAATAATTTTCACAACACGTCCCAGTTTAAAGTTTGCAGTAATCTACTATTTTAGTTTACCCACAAGTATTCAGAACGAAATTTCATACAAATCTGTGCTACGGCTATTTCTTCAATATTCCTTCATATTTTTTTGAGAGCTCGTAAACCTGAACTTCGGTCTTGTTTTAAAATGGAAAATTTCGAAAACCCTTAAATCCGTTTGATTTTGGTTAAGCATTATTGGTGCCAGGGCCCGGCACGCGTTGGTTTGGAGGTTTTTAGGAAACGAAGTCCTCCATGACTTCGCGAAAATTTACGAACTCTCTCTCGACGTGAAAATCAGTAGGGAAACCCTAATTCAACCAATATAGCAATAAAAAAGCGAAAAAAGCGCATTTTGAGGTATGTAATATAACAAAAAGAGCAAAAAGAAAACATTTCGAGTCGATTAAAGGCTCTGCCATTGGGTATAGTACCATTTTGATGCTGGTAATGTCAGAAATCTCTTAGGCCAACCAAATCTGTAGCCTCAACAATCCTGCAATGCATTTTTCGCCACATTTTTCAAAGGACACCGCAACTGATTGGAGCGCGATATCTATCAACGTGTAGAATTATACTACTTTTGACTCAAAAAAGGGGAGAGGCAACGGTTTGATCCGCTCTCTTCACTAGATGATAGATTTTTGACCGTTTTAATCGTCCAAATCAAAAAGGTCCAAAACTTATCTGAACTCTCCGATATTTATGCTCCGAACCAACCCAGTTGGTTTGGTAGTTGGTCTAGAAACCAACAAATTCGAGAACGGATATTAGGACACATAAGTTTTGGGAACTTTTTACATAACATAGTTTGGAGTAATATTGTATACACATAGCTCAAATCCAGAGCCATGTGATTGTTTGTGCGCTGTAAACAAGCCATTTGTTTGTTTGAGTCTTGCATTTGAAATTCGCGCGCTTGCGAAAGAACACGTCCAACTCGTGAAACCTGACATGTTCGTCGTGTTTTTTTTGGCGCTTCCTCCAGGACCTCATAAAAACGGTGTCCCCGTTGCTTCTAACTCCAAAAACGAAGTCCAGTTTGACCCCAAACCATCGGTGCCGGGCCCTGATTGGTGCTAAACGTTGACTTTGCAACAAACAAATCTCACTACTGAAAAAAGCTCGATAACCCCTAAATTTGAAATTTGGTCTTGATTGGAGCAAATTTACTTCTGAACTTCAATTTTGAAGGTTTCATTAAAATTCCTCAGCATCTGGAGCGACTCTGGATAAGGGACGGGGCTTGCGATGTTTTGGTCCTCTGAGGAGCTTGTGATTATAGCGACTCCGAATGTGCCTGGCAGGCACATCACTTAAGAGCGAGAATATGACTTGGGTGAGAAACTTCCCGCACCCGTACAAATTGCACGAAAAACACTGAACAAGATGTAGCCTATCTTCCGCTAGATTTCTGTAAAAAAGGTGAAAAGCGTCTATGGATTTGTAGCTACTTACGCAATCTTTCAACTATGCGATTGTTGAAACTGAAAATGTAACGAAAAACCAATCTTGTATAGCAAGAACATCAGTGCTTAACTTGCAGTCCCACGGATCAGTCTCAATGAAAGTCTCTCTTTCAGATGCATTAATGATTGTTGTGCCATAAATGTCAAACCAGAGCACCACTGAGCCAACTCTTGTGATTACTATCTTATATCGAGAACTTGCTGTTCTTGCAACGTTTTTGGTAAGCAAAACGTACACTAATGTCTATATGTCCTTTCGATTTGAGGTTGCAATCATCGGAGCTTATTGTCATTGGTTCATACTAACATGCATTTTGCGCGGGTTAACACAAATCAGTCCATTTATCCTTTTCATTGCAAGTCAATCACTCGCTGAAGCTATTTTGTTAACTTTCTTTGTTTTCTATTATCCGCCCATGGTTTTATAGTAAGTCAATTATGATCCTTTAAAAAATTATAGTAAAGTCAATTATGATCCTTTGAAAAACAAGAACTGAGTGTTTGAGGGAATCTTAAACTTTGCAGTAATTTACTGCATTAGTGACATCTTAAAATTTCTAATCTCCATAAGCAAATTTTCAGCGATATATCTCAAATGAAAACAAATTCGCATATAATGGGAACGATAACCATGATTTGTCTGGATGTGACAAATGCTTCACATCTTGTCATGGCTTTGAATCGACTTTGCGCCATCTGTGCACCTACCAAGTACGCGAAGTATTTCAGGTAAGCATAGCCTGAATCTTAGTTCTCCAAATCAATCAGATGCGTAAGTTTTGGGTACTTTTCGCACGATACCATTCACTGCCTCCAACAGCAGTCGAAAAAGCCTTTGCTAGTACATGGACGTAATTTGGCCGCTATCGTTCAACAGAAGTTCATTGTGGAATCATAGCATTACCTCCATAAAAAATACTTGGTGTATTTCCTGCGACTAAAGTTTTTCTGAGTTGTCGCGAAAAAAAATTGTGGGATTTTGTTTAAAAAAGAGTAAGAAAAATCAAATTCAAACATATTCACAAAGAAGAAAATGCTAACAAAAAGCTCTTTAGGATATCAAAGCAATCTTGTGATTTCTGCATTTAACTGCTTTGCAATTATTATTCAAGCTGCTAGTCCACCCAGACTATGCTAGCAGGTCAACCTACTGGTGAATTTGAATGTTCACAAATAAGCGTTGAGACCTGCCATACAAGTTCCTCCATTACTCAGAGTCCGGCACAATGTTTCAAAGTACGCTTAAAATACGTTTGAGTACGTGGATGCACTCGAAGGCACCCAATTTCAAAACAATACGACAGCAAAGAATTCGGTCAAAAAAGAAGTTGCTTTGCCATTTTTACGTTTACAACTATTAGGTCGTGTAATGAGTTCTGTCCCTTTTCTTGTTTTAGTTTTTTCTTAACAACATTGATTATTTTCAGATAAAGTGTATAGGCTTTTTAAAGCTCTAAGTCTGCTCTACAGGCTCATATGCATCACTTTCCAACATAGCAGGAAATTAAAAAAGATCTTTATCATTGAAACAAAGAATCCAAAGAGCCGAAAAATCAATTTTCGACATCTTTTTTCCTCCAAATTTTTCTGGATTTTTATTGGTAAAACTTACTCAACAAGCTTGACAACAACCAAAACATTAGACTTTTACACTTATTATATCACTGTTTGCGCATGTTCCCTCCCTTCCACAGGCTATTTAATGACATTTTTTTAAAGTCGGCAAGGAAAGGCTTTGTCACGCGATATTTGCCGTCTCGCGTACCTAAACTGTGTGGCTCCCAAAATTCGAATTTTGAATATTTAACCTATGAACTCGATAATTTTGAACCCAAAACCATCCCATCTGTCTTTTCTGGATGATCCGCCTACCGTCTTCCCTCAGGATGCCTTCAGATGATGCCCAACACCAACGTTGAAAAGGCGTTAGAAAGAAGACTTTTCTAAAGTCTACAGAATTTTTGAAAAGTTTCAGCATTTCTGAAGCGCAGTAGAAGCTAGAGCATTCTTTGCCCACTGTAGTAAATTCCTCGAGCTTATTCGTAGGCATTCTGACTAATTAGGACGTAACGTAGTTGTCGAAAATAGACTTTTCCCCTGTTTGATTTTCCAAATTTGAAGCTGTAAAACTTTTGCAAGTCATCTGATGTAAAAAATCGAAATGAAAGTTTTAGTAAAGATGGCTTAAAGCTTTCAAACGCATATAAACAATTTACAGAACGTAACGCAGAATATTGAGAAAAAATTGAAAGAAAAAATGGGACAGAACTTATTACACAACCTAATAGATACAAAAATGCAGCCGCGATTGCAAACAAAGATCCGCTTGGGCCACTAAGTAGAATTCATTTCATAAAAGAACAGGGGCGGTATTTATCAATCTCCCGCTCGCTCTTCGGGTGTGTTGCATCGTTATACACGGCCCGAACAGGCAGGAATGTTCAAATCAACCCATACTTTGGTTAGCATGGCCAAAACGAGCAGCGGAGCCCGATTTGTCGAGATCGGGCCTGCCGTACCCGGCATGGCCAAACTTGCCAGATCGGATTTTTGAGCCCATGCAATGTCCTAGTGTAAGGTCAGTATGGTGGTGGGAAGTTCTGATAATGACTGTGACTGAATCCAGACTTCTATTTTATACAATTTGGTATGTATTGTTTGAATCAGCCACAAAATAAGACTTTTTGATTGATTTGCACATTATCTGTGCTCTGATTACTCCTACAATAATAGAGATTGTATGCGTTTATATTTAGGACGAATTGGCCGTTTCCCGCATCTTCAGAAAAAGTGACTTTGACTCCTCATCTGACTTTACAATTGTTGACATGATAATCACAAGTGCATAACAATACAAAAACTGTGCTCGAGGATTGGAAGGAAAGAAAATAAAAAACGAGGAATTTTCAAACGTTTGCGACAAGCAAAGTTTATGCCAGCAGGCGTTTTTGATATGCGCCCGCTCGCACTGCTGCCGTGCTGCCATTAGGATCCCGAACGTGCTTGAAAGTGATGTACAAGAAATAATTGATAAATATCGCCCCAGTTCATCACCAAGGAAATATTACCCTTCTAAGAGAAATGCAATTTTTGAGAGGGGTCAAGAGTAGATTGGTCCACGTAAGGTATTTACCAACCCAACAATATAACCTTAGATACATCTGTACTTGATCATGGCAAGAGCAGAAAATCAAGAAACGCTGTGTTTACTTAAATAATTTATCATCAAAAGTATATAATCAAAAAAGGGTTGGAAGTGTGACAGATCAAAAGAGCTTTGTAGAATTTGAATAAGCCACTCTCAAACAACTATGAAGGCAACAGAAAGCGTCTTTACATGCATTCTTCCGGAACTACTCTGCAATAGAAGGCAACGCACAGGATTTAGTCAAGAGTATGTTGCACGGTAAGTATTGAGTTAAATAAGAGCTTTTGCGGAATTCCAGTATCATCTAGCTTGCAAAAATTATTAGTACACAGCCTTATCCGTTTTTTTTTTTGAGCTCATTCGCAAAAAAGTAAAGATAAGCAAAATCCTCGAAAGTATTTGATGCAGGATTTCTTTCGCTTTCCACCGGCTAAGTCACTGACGAGTAATGTGGCAATCGATGAGATAGTTGCAGAAGCTTGCGACTACTCGTTTTAGCGTTCTAACATTCGCTAACCTCTGAGAAATTTATATGAAACTTTTCAGGAAGTCCAACAGGTAGAATCAGGGCTCGGCACAAGGTGGCTAGATGAAAATGCAAATAAAGTCGCAAATTTTGTGTATTTTCGGCCGTAAAAACAAAGCCTGGAACCGAGCCCTGGATAGAATAAACCTATTGTATTAGGTTGTAACAAAAATCTTGTTATACTTTAATCTCTTACAACGATAAGCCTCACACTTCGTATCTTGATGCGATTCCAGGGAACCATCCGATAGAAAGCAAGCTCTGCAAGATGGTGTGCAAAAGTTCGCACCAGTTTCGACCTACCATAGGTTTGGATCCAGAATCTGAGTCGTATTGAAGGCTCAAAAAAAATCGGGAAAAATTCATATCTTCGTCTAAATCACTGTGAATGTCCAACTTGCTCACACAACTTGTTCACCGCATCAGACATCATGTGTACCGTTCCTGCATTTTTAGCCTAAACGAACACCAAAATTTTAATGTTTATATTAAAAAAAAACTGCTATTTCCACCCACGTACCCTAATTTCGCTCGTATAAGACGCACCTTTTTCGGTTTTTCAAGCGTGCCAATCAGCAAGCTGTTTAGAAAAACGAGACTTATGCCACACGATACTCTCAGACAATATGCAGCACTGTAAATAAATTTTTCTTTCGGCGTATCTGTGCTGTTCAATTTTAGAAAAAAATCCCCACTTCCTATACGCGTGAAATTAGGGTAATAGTATATGACAAGCCCTCAAAAGTAGAACCGTGAATTTTCAGCTCACCACAAGCCCTCGTTTTCGAGAAATGTTGATTTTAGCATGGAAGTCCGAATGAGGAGAGATAAATTCGGTAATTTTCGAAAACTAGGGCTTGTGGAAAAATGAAAATTTACGAGTATACTTCGAAGGGCTTGTGCTATACAATTACGTGAGTGGAAACAACGTAGCCGTTTTTGTAAAAGCATAAAAATTTTCATTTTTTCGATTTCTAAATGAGGGAAAAAATACAGAAATGGTACATATAAATATCTAATGCGTTGTGCAACTTGCTGAGCAAGTAGGATTTTGAACAAAGATATTAATTTTTCCCAATTTCTTGAGCCTTCAGTGTTACTCAGATTTTGGATGCAAATTTGCGGTGGGTCGAATCTGGTGCAAATTTTCGCACACTATCTTGTAGAGCTTGCTTGGCTCTTTCGAATGCTGTGAAGTCCTATCAAAAATGTGAAGTTCGGACCTATTGCCATAGGAAGTTAAAGTGTGACAAGCTTATGCAACCTAATAAATTGACAAGATTTTTTTGACTTCTGGTCCTTTGATTTTTCATACTCGGTCTGTTATAAGCTTTTGAACAGGGAGAGCTGAGGCTGGGTTACCGAACCTAAGCAGCACAGTTCCATGTATCGCAACTGTGCTGCGCGCTGCAGTAGCGGCCAGAACTAGGTTGTAACCGTTTTCAATGGTTTATCTCTCAGACTTCACTCATTTCAATCTCATTCCTCTACCGCGGTTCTCCTTGTGATGAGAAAAGCCACAAGCTTAGTTGCAAATTGAGTGCAGTTCTGCTTCTATGTATCCGGGAAGATGTTCCTCTCGCGCTCGTCCATTGCGATTGCGGAGCCGCTATAATTGTTGAGGAGCTACTACACGCTTCATCGCAAAACACTCCGACTAGGTCGAGAGTTGAACTTCCGTTGCTCTGCGCGAAGTGCCTGCTAATAGACCACTAGGCTAAAGAGCCACTATTGCACAATTGCCGCAACTGCTTAGTGAATCCACGTAATCAAGATCTCACATGTCAAGACACGTGGAGAGGCGCAAGGCTTGCCTGTGAGGTGCCTAGCAGTGGCGGTCTCAGAGCGGTTCCGAGGGGGGAAGGGGAGGGGCGGCAAAAATTTTTTTTTCTCAAATAAAGGTGCGTGGCGTTAGCCACGCACTCTGAAATTTTTTTTTGAAGTGCATCGTAAAATTCTGCGGGTCTAAAGCCCCCGAAAATTTTTTTAAAAGGCTAATTTGAATTTTTAAAAAATTCTAAAAATTATTTTGATTGTTTACAAAAATAAACAAGTTATTTGCACATTTTTATAACCCATGTAGGTAAGTTTCACCCCCGCCCCTTCAATCCGCTACTGGTGCCTAGCCATAATATATCCTAAAGATTCTCAAAAAAGTAGCAGGATAAAACATGGACATAGACAGTAACCTAACAATCCGTCTCCCTCCCCTCTCACCATATTTTGATATGCTATTATACTTGATAAAATTCGAAATTCTGTTGATTTCCAAAATTTTTCGAATGAACTAGATCTATAATTTGTAATCTTGAAATAGACCATTATTTTAGGAAAATAGACTTCAAGTAGTAAACAAAGTCTACAGGTCATTCGTAAGTCGACGGTTAGAATCTCAAAAGACCTCTGAATAATGTAGCAAATTTCGAAAAATTTTTCACGAGGTTTCTGTTGACACAATAAAAAAGAAATAATTTGAAAAACACTTCCTGTGTCATTACTTTTTTGCTAAGAAAGTTCAACTCGGCCTGAGATTTTTGTCGCTCTTCCGTATGTGCCCACCGTAATAATCTTCATTGAAAACGGACAGCATGATCATAATTGCACCGCCAAATGAACTCAGTGGCGAATTTTCAAGCATTTCAGTAAGTTTATTCCACCACATCTACTGCAGCCCCATCGCATAGTCTTGCAGTGAAAAGAAATAGTAAGTATCTAACAATGGCGGCGAAGGGCTCTCCCCGGGATATGTCGCGAAATTTTTGAAATTTACTTACTGTGTTATAAAAAATGTGCAAATGACTTGTTCGTTCTTGTAAATAATAAAATTATCTTTTAAAATTTCTTAAGATTCAAACTAGCCTTGTAAAAAAACTTTTCGGGGGCGTAGCTACTGACAAGCCCCCTTTTCGCATAAGTTGGGGGCACGGTCCAGCAAAAAATGTTAAGAAGCACCCCGAAAAATTGCCGCCATGCACCTTCACTTGAAAATTTTTTTTTGTCCCCCTTCTCCCCTCCTCTCGGACGGAAATCCTGCGACCGTCACTGGTAACTAAGTATTTAGCTAAACTTCCCCTAAAAAAGTTTTAAGTGAGATTTTTTTATCCATCTACCGTAAATCCATCGAAACCCCTTTTTGAAAGGTATTTTCAAGCGACTATGATATTACTGATTAACGTGCGGAATTAACGAAGCCAACTTTCATGATATCCTGTGGTTTTGGGTAGTCTACCGCATCTCTTCTCCGCTATAAACCGCTGTAGTGAAAAACGCGCAATGTGATCGTAATCAACACACCGCATAACGCCACTGAGCCAACCAATTTTAAATCTGTTATGGGACTTTGGCTTTCACCAAATTCATCTCTCCGCAGTGAAAAATGATTACCACATCCGAATTAGCACAGCGAATAACCCCGCCAGACCAAGTTTCAGTCAACTTCTTGAATCTCGCCCAACTACCGTAATCCTACCATAACCTCGCTATGTGGGCGAATGGCGAAAAATGACTACCATGACTATCAGCGTGCCAAATAACCCCACTGTACCAAGTTTCAGCCAATTTTGTGACTTTCGCCCAACTACCGTATACCTACCGTAATCCCGCTCCGTGGCCCCGTAGCGAAAAACGAACGTTATATCCGTGATCAGCGTGCCAAACAACCCCATTGTACCAAGTTTTAGCTAATTTCGTGACTTTCGCCCAACTACCGTATCCCTACCGTAACATCGCTAAATGGTCCCGCAGTTCAAAATAAACATCATATTCGTGATCAGCGTGCCAAAAAACCCCACTGTACCAAGTTTCAGACAATTTCGTGATTTTCGTCTAACTACCGCATACCTACCGTAATCCCGTTCTGGGACCCCGTAGCGAAAAACGAATGTTATATTCGTGATCAGCATGCGACATACCCCCAGTGTACCAAGTTTCAGCCAATTTCGGAACTTTCGCTCAGCTACCGTATCCTACCTAACCCCCTTATGTGGGCGAATGGCGAAAAATGAGCATCGGATTCGTGATCAGCGCGTCGGATAACCCCCGGGACCAAAATTTTACAAAATTTTGAATTTTTGTGTTCAACGGTGCACATTATACTTGGGTAATTCGAAAATTTTTCATCGAATGAATGAATATCGAATAAATTCGAAAATGAAAAATCTCGAATAAACGAATATCGAATAAATTCGAAAATCAAAAAACTCGAATGAATGAATTTCGAATAAATTCGGAAAATCAAAAATATCGAATGAATGAATATCGAATATATTCGAACATTGGGAGTCGAATTTCGAATAGATATTCGAATGATTTTTCGAATAACTACTGTAACTTATCTAAAACTTGCTGACATTTCTGGCTAAAACCGATTCATTCATAATCAGCACCCTCATATCCCCTACACCAACTCCTAGCTCAAGCTTTTCCAGAAATCGGTATCGATAAACAAAAATTTTGTTTATATCAGCACTCTCACTTACCCCCCCCCCCCTGTACCAACTCCCAGCCCCGTAGCTCAAAGTTTCCCAAAAATCGATAAAATCGATCGGCGTCCACCACATTTCAAGGGCAGTTTAGCAGAGTAGCAGCAAATGAAATTGGCTGGAGCTGAAATTTAAAAATGAGGCTTGCACACGCTATACATCAGTGGTGAGCTGGCGTTACATCTGAAGACATCTGTAACTCATTGATAGAAAAAGCATCAATTAAAATCCACATTTATTTTTTTAATGTCGCAAGCAGTCGGAGGAATGCGACTTTCCATACAGTTCAAATGTTGTTACGGTTGCAAAAAAGATGCATTACCTGGTCTTGTAAAAAAAATACGAAAACGAAGCGAGCTTGGTACTCACAGTTGGCTCTGCAACAAACTCGAATAATTTGGATACGGAGTTCATTCGAATACGAATTCGAATAAACATTCGAATAAAACATTCGAATAAATTCTATTCGAAAACCCGTTTTTCGATTATTCGAGTTTTCGAATATTATTCGAATCCTCGTTTTTTGATTATTCGAGTTTTCGAATTTTATTCGAAATCCTGTTTTTTGATTATTCGAGTTTCGAATTTTATTCGAAACCCCGTCTACTCAATTATTCGAGTTTCGAATATTATTCAAAAGTGGAAAAACTCCGAATATGGAATTTTCGAATCGAATATATTCGAATGTTTTATTCGAATGATCGAATTTCCTATTCGATTCGGACCCAAGTATAGTGCACATGATGCTTCATGATTTCATGCTTCATGAAACTCGGAGCAAAATCTACCCCGGAGGACTTTTTTCTGGACCTCTGCGTTTACGCACTATTTCTCTTTCTCTAACGAAACTCGGAGTTAACTCGCGCGAGCCTGAAACACGCACCAAACTCAGAGTTAACGCGCAGCTGAGCTGCGCGTTAACTCGCGTATCGTCTCGCGTGGAACGAATTACGCTACGTTTCCATACTTGGCATAAAGTACGTCTTGCGGGGTATCCTGCCATATAACCCTTTCCCCAATTTGGTTTGCTTATGCAAGTGTTGATGGTCCCTGAAAGGTGCGTAAGTGTTTGGTAAGTGTTTCTTTCGCGGTAATTAACAACATTCTGCAGCTCGAAAGGATGCGATTGAGCCGAGCCGTACCTAAGCTATACTTTTCCTTCGCCACCTCTAGCTCAATTGGCTCAACATCCGCATTCTTGAAAATGGCACGCTTACTCACGATCAGTAGTTTATCTGGATGTTACTTGATAGATTCTATGACCTCACCTGTCAAGATTCTCGCTTGCGAACAATCAAATATCATTATACTACATAAGTTAACTTATAGGTCTGCAGATACCATATCGCGAAGGATTGCAAGTTTTAGGTCGTTCCATGAGTTCATAGCGTTATTATTTTCGTCCTCAGTTCTTTGGGGGAGCGCTTGATTTGTAGATGCGTATATAATTAAAAAGTGATCACACTCTCTGAATCATACCAACTGGTTTCCATGGAAAGCTTATTTACTAATTTTTCCCAAGAAAGAAAGGCTCAAAAGGCAAGAAGGTGCATCTTTGACATCAATTTCTGCGCGTAAAAGTGGACCTTTTTTGAATTATGGGAAATTGCGTTTACTTGAATTCAAGACAAAAAGAGGTTAGTTTGCTTCAGGAGATCAAATGGTGTAGGACACCCCTGTACAACAGTGGCGGTCCTTCCAGGGGGGAGGGGCAAAAATTTTCAAATGAAGGTGCGTGGCGTGAGCCACGCATTCCGAAAAATCTTTAGGGGGGGGGTTTCGCCCCCGAAAAAAGTTTTTATAGGACTAATTTGGATTTTTAGAAAATTTTGAAGATTATTTTAATCTTTATATGTATAAAACTCAAAAATTTCCGTTTGAAGGGTATGTGAGTTATAGAAGCGCGCGCCGCTCAACCGATTGGGCTGAAAATTTGCACACAGATGTTTTCGACCCCGGAGACGGTTTTAGGCTATTTTTTGCGGCGATTCACTGGGTCCTTCTATCGATTTATTGATTTGTTTACGTTTTTCAAAGGAACTGAAGGGTTATCATGTTTAATCGAGCATTTTGCCTTATTCATGAAAAGGAGGGCGGTAAAGCTCATTTTCACCTTAGGATTACGAGGATGCGGTTTTGAAGCGGATGTTCCAGGGTAAGTTATCCATAACATATAAAAGGGGGGGCTCTCAGTGCAGGAGAACAGTGGCCCGCTCTAGACCGGGAAAGCCAATTAGTTGTTTATAAGAATAAAGAAGTCACTTGCACATTTTTATAACCACGTAAGTAAATTTCAAAAATTTCGCGACCCATCTTCGGAAGGGGGGAGGGCCTCCCCTCGGTCCGCCACTGCTGTACAAGGCTTTTCGGAGGACGGACAGGATGTCCTGCACTGAAAATTGCTGGACAAAGAAGACGGTCGAGCATACCGTATAAAACCCAACTGTACCGCGGAAAAAGCCTAATAGACAAATCTAGCGAGTTCCTCTGCATGGCGCAAATACCTACAAACGTCGTCAAAACTTCCTGCAAGCTTTGAGTAGAGGTCATTTAGCACTCAACATATTCCTCAATCTCGCTCTATCAGACTATCATTTGTTTCGCTCTCCCAAACCTTATAAGTGCTCAAATCTCGATTATAGAGAGTACTTTAGATGCTGTTTAGATCACTTTTTTGAAACCCGGCGCGCTGCTATCTGAAAAATTAGGACTGAAAAGCTGACAGAAATCTAGAAAAACGTTGTGCGCTCGAGTATTGTGATATTGACTGTTTTGACTAAAAATTGATGACTTTGTTGGTTTATAAAAACGCTGCGAGATACGAACCTACAGAAAAAATTAATACATCTTGATTTACGATCTCTTGAACTGTGACATCAGTTAGCGCGAAGCTTAACAAGGTTGATTATGTCTTTGTTCATGCTGTAATCAGCATGAATAAAAACTTACCTAACCTTGTTTTGCTATCATCTCGCAATAACTGAGTGTTTTCCTGAAAGATTTCATGTTATTTCAGCAAGCGATCTTCATGGGTGTTCATCGCTTTAATTTGGAGCACTTCTATAATAGATCATGTCATCGTGGAAGGCATTCGTAAGTCTTATAAATGCATTGAATGAGCAGCTGACAAAAACTACTTTAAATATAATCGATAGATTTTTGCCAATCTAGACATGTAATCGTAACGATAGCGCTCACATACGACTCATGAAAAGCAAAAGATCAAAAACGATTCTCTTTACAGTGTTCATTAAAATACGATAGCTTCCTGTAAAAAACAGATGACTAACTCGTACGAGCTTCGTCTAACAGTGGAAGGATAAGATTCCTTGCAAAACGGAAAATTTTTAGGTTTGTTGTACATAGGGTGTCTCAAAAATGTGCACTGTTTGATCGTTTATAAAACCGCTGCTTCCGTGAATTTTGCTAGGCCTTGGGTACAATTCGGTAGAAATGGCTTTAACTCAGATGGCTTCAGTTTATGACTCAGTGTCTGATCAGTGCATATTATGAGGACTTGGAACGCTGATTTTTTATTTTTTCCATACCGGCAAAAGGCTTCTTGAAAGGTAAGCTGATATAGCGGAAGTACCAACACCTGAATATTTTGCACTCAAACCTAATTAGAACAGCTTTACCATCCTTAAACTGAGGCTGGTCTTTTCTTAATGATTTTCTGTAGCGCAAAAAGCAATTCGAACGATTTCTTTTATTTGTAGTCACACAGGACGATACGAGTTTTGACAGTAAAAACGCCATAAACCCCCATGACTTCATTCTCAAAAGCGTTCTATGAAGATGGGGCAAATTTGAAATTAGCGCAAGCCTTTGTAGTGGTATGTATCCTACTAATTGGCCAGTTCTAACGTTCTGTTCCTCCCTTGTCAGATTTATGGTTTATGGTATGGAGCAAAAATTACTGGTCGCTTTTCATTACTGTAAACCTACCGTGAGAAGAGCCATTAGGGACAGTGGTTGTCCTCAGAAAAGCGACGAACAAACTAGGAATTCTTGTACCAGGCTAATCAGAGTCGCTGATTCTAGATATGAGATTTTCACCTTAGCACAGTGCTTCCTTCGAAGGTTAAGCCAGGTATAGGTAACATTTGATTCAACTGGCTTGGCTTCGGGAAGGCGGGGCTCCGTGACCTAATTAAGGCTAGCTATTGATCAGAGAGCACTCGCGCAAGAGAGACGCAGGTGCGTTTGCGAGCGGCCTTAATTACGTCATAAAGCCCCGCCTCATCGAAGCCAAGCCAGTTGAAGCAATATTAGAGACTACTTTCCTCCTTCAAAAATGCGTACATCATTTGAATAGCTTCGAAAACATGAAGGAAGTTGTGTAATGAAAACAGTATGCGCGACCCCGTTACACAGTTCAGACTTAATTGGAAATTCTTTCAAGTGGCTGTATGCTACAAGCTTCTAACGTATCTATGGTAATCAAGAGCGTTCGGTGGGAAAGAAGATCACTTCCAGAAAGATATCAACGATCAAACAGTGCACATTCTTGGGACACATTGTAATGTCAGATATTGTGTCTAGTAGCTCTGGGCCCATCATACACTCCTGAGAAAGCTTCTTATGCAGTTGTGGCAAATACCTACTCCTTTATGAGAAGAAGTCTCAAGGTGAGGGGGACATTGCGTGAGGACATCAAATGAATGAGATGCTTGGCCCTGTCAAAACACTATGATGAAAGTCCCATCTCGCTTTCAAATAATTTCTAAATAATGATCTGTACAACTTTTCCCTGTGCCCATTTCTACATGCCAATGCCCTCTCCCGCTGTATTAGTAATCAGCATGCTCGATTATCCCCTTGTGCCAACTCCCAGCTCCGTAGCTCAAACTCTGAAAAAATCGCTAGAATCGATAAAAGTAATAGACAATTCTAAAAACTAATATTGTATTCGTAATCAGCATCCTCCCCTCCCCCATGCTAACTCCCAACTCCGTAGCTCAAACTTTGCAAAAAATCGATACCGATAAAATTTTCGGATAGTTTCAAAAACCAATATTGTGTTCGTAATCAGCATCGATTCCCCCCCCCTATGCCGACTCCCAGCCCCGTAGCTCAAATTTTGCAAAAAAAAACCCCATAAATTTGATATTGATCAATAACGAAAAGTAGCCTAAGGCTGGGTTCATACTGAGCCGCACAAACCGGCACAGTTCCAGCTTCAAGCACAGTTCGAGCGCTATGCGGGAACTGTGCCGCTTTGTGCGGCTCAGTATGAACCCAGCCTAAGACACCCGCTCAGCTTCGAAGTGTATGTATACCAAGCTTGGTCCGGATCGGTTCAGAAATGGAATGTTATATTTAAAACGTGCGTACAGACATACAGACATACAAACATACAAACAGACAGACAGACAAAAGACATTCAGCTTTACATGGAAAGATTTCTACTACTTTCAATTTTAAAAATCAGAGTTTAATCATACAACCTTGCACTAGCACTGAGGCTAATCAATATCCTGAATCAAGTTTCAAGTTTTACAGTTGGATGTACATATTATTATAGTGACAGTGCTTGGGGATTTGTATTTAAGTTTGGTAAGGTAAGAAAGTTCAATCCCCACCTGCAGCTACTACCTTTTCCTTCTAAGGACTGCGATTTCGTGCTATATTCCACTAATACGATCAAGCAGTTTTGCATGGTTGGGATTATTGGATCAATAGACACACTGACTCTGGTGAAGTTACGTCTCACTTCAAGGAAGGTCAGCGTAACATAAGAAAAAATTTTTTCCTGAAAATTGACATTCAGTTCTCTGATGCTCAAGCTGCCGCTAGTCGAAAAGCTGATATAAATTTCTTCAAGCAGGTAAATTATTTCTATGTTGTTCTCGTTACCAACAATAGGAGGAAAACTCAATCAAATGAGTTGGTGTAAACCAATGGATAAAGTCAGAAAGCTGACTTAAACTATGACTTCCTTATCTGCGAAGCGTCTTTTAGAAATTTTACGGGCTTTTTTGTATTTACAACTGTTGTGTAGTCCCAGTAAGAAAATGAAGAACTGTGGAGTAGGCCTGCGGACAGCACCATGGCTGGAGAACACTCGGAAAGGTTCAGATGGCATTACACTAAATGTACGAAGCTTATCTAGTGATTTATGTGAGCCTGCTTACTCTTTTGTTTAAATTACCGTCATTTTGCTCCTCAAAATATACGCAAACTTGGTCTAAAATAAGCCCATGACTTTTCCGAGGACGCGCAGGTATAGAAGGTGTAACAAGAGGAGGGCCTGAAGTCGAAATCAGTTTTTACCATGAAATATATATGTACTTTGAAAAGCATCAAACGCTGATTCCAAAACTGTCTTTATTATCTGCCAATCGCCCCCAGAAGCTGAGTTATAACCGTTTTTTGGCTCAAAAATGGATCACGCAATTAAAAAACTAGTGCAGTACGCGAATTGCTCAGGTTCGATATCAGAGCCCCAATTTTGAAAAACCTTTCATCTGATACTCGTGCATTACACTTCTTTCTTTGAGGCTGGAAAGACCCTACCTGTTGATTTTACCTAGAATATGCTATCATTTTTGGCTGTAAAAAGCACACGTAACTCAGCGTCTATAGGCGTTTCGAAAAAACAAGGAAAGTTTTACAATCAGTGTTTGATGCTCTTCAGATTGGTGTGTAATTCATTTGGTCAATTTCGACTTTGGTTCCTCCATTATTGAGACCAGCGTTTCGTTTCTTTCCTCATTATCTCTCACTGTCCTAGTCACCACTTCGCCCAGTGTCCCTCTAGGTAAGCGATATGATTGCGGTAATTTCTGTCCCAGTATGTTTTATTTTCTTATAAGCTGTTCAAGTCAAGAGAATAGTGCTAATTTCAAATTTTGAGCAGATCAAGTACTTTATATATAGTATATACTGCCCTCCTAAATGCTCAAAAACAAACATCCTCTCCACATCTTGTATTCAAATTTACAGTTTCTGTGTGATTTTCGCGATCAGAAAAGGGAAACGAATTAGCAGGTTTTAAAGGGAAACGAGACTAGCAGGTTTTGTCAAAGCTATCTGAGCTCTCATGGCTTTTTGAGATATTGAATGCAATATTGAATACAATAAAAACCTGAAGTCAAAAAATCTCGTGTTTTTTGCCTATTTTATCCTTATCTCAAACCTTAGAATACTTGCAGCAACTCTGCATACAAATTGCCATGTGATCAGCGTGACAAGTTGGAGGTAGGATATGTTCTTTGACGGGGTTGCGATTTTTTAGTAATAATAAATACGAGATTTGATTTCAAATTTGACATGAACAATTTGTGATGTTTGAAAGCCCTTTTGTAAAGCTTACTCTGCTCTGAAAAAGTCACTTGAGCAGCAATCAGAAGAAGTGAAATTAGCAGAATTTACATAATGAAAAAAGCACTTAAACAAGTTATTATTTAGGCATTACTGCAGTTCCTAATTTGGATAGTAGAGATGGTTTGCTACTTTTTCGTCTCCAACTTTTTCACACACGTCTTCATTAAATGGATCCTCATGAATTTGGCATGGTTAATCATGCATAGTGCTGACGGGTGTGTTTATAGTCTGTTTGTAGAAAGTTTTGCTTTTATACTCAGAATTACAGAATTTCATTGCTGGCCATAAATCAGGAATTCAAAAAACTATTTTGGAGTCCAATGAGTGTAAGCATGCTGCATATATTAATAAACTCGGGAGCAACTCGGTAATATTTTAGGTGTGCAAAAAACCAAAGAGAATCGACGCTATTCCTGTATCCACAGCTGTTGCAAGCCGCGCACATCAGACAGAACACGGTTTCAAGATTGAGTTTTCTCATTCATAATGAGCACATCAGATTTCCTAGGGTGACGACAACATATTAACACATTGACTACCACTTGTGCACACATGGTGCAAGCACAGAGTGTCATGTGGGACTGCTTGACACACATGGCGTTTCAAGCAATCCCACAATACGTCTCAGCTACGTTAGAATTGCAACTTTCTTAAGATAACTTACTCCAAAAGTTTTCTTTCGGATCCAGAAATAACCACCATCTTTTCTGTCAGCCTATTAGAGCTACTTTAGTCATACAGTGGATAGCAGTATGTCTACTTTTATGTGAAGAAACCTGGCTAGTTCGTAAATGGTCTTGGTCCCAAAAGGCAGGCAACTAAAAATTTGCATGGTCGTTAATGTGCTAAATGAAGAAATTCAGAAAATTTAGAGATCAATGATGTGCTTATTGCATAGTGAAAGGCACAGATCAACGTTATGCGCAGCATTTTTTGCATTGTAAATTTTTTATATTCATGATTCAGGAACCTAGGCTCCCGTCAGAGTGCCAAATCCACGCCAGCGCTGCGCCGGCGCCAAGCCGTCCCGATCGATCACCGTTGTTTCGATCAATACACGTGCACTTCTTCGGGGCGGGGCTAGCTGACCTAGTTCTCACCCAGATAAATGCACCGATTATTGTTCGAAATCTCTGTCAAAAGCTCCGGTAGCGCTTTGCCGGCGCAGGGTCAGCTAAGCCGGCCCCGCACGAAGTGCACGTGTATCGATCGAAACGGCGCCGGGACAGCTCGGCGCTGGCTCGGCGCCGGCGCAGCGCCGGCGTAGCTTCGGCACTCTGTCGGGAGCCTAAACTAAGTCGATAATGAGTTACTGATGTATTTTTATGTTTATCAAATGCGTCGGACTTTATAGCACAGAATTATCAACAGACTGCAAATTGTTCATGGAACAGAGCTGCCTCCATTTTTTCAGCAATGTTTCATATTTTGTTATTGTGCAAGTACGCTAGTATACAATGTGTTACCAAAGCAGTATATGTGTCTTGACCACCAGAGTAATAGTTTATCGTGGAGACAGCAAGTGTCTTTGAGTAATAAAATGTTTTGGTTTGATCTGTACAATCGAATTTCTGGCACTTTCTTGTTTGCCAGGAGAATCTTCCCATATATGCACTCTGAAGATATAGAGGCTTGCTTCATACAACAGAACGTCATTGAAATCATGAGGAAGGACATATCAGGGTTGAGCAAGAGAGTGGCACACAACTGCCGGATACGCCCTCCCCCCTCCGCTCTAAGTTCTGTCTCTCTCTCTCTCTCTTCCCCTCCCAACATTATCCTTTGCCTACGGTAGGCATGACATAAAGGCTCTATAGGTCATTTATAAATTGAATAGTGACGACGGATTTGACTGCGGTCTTTGCGCCCAAAAGGCAGAAAAGATTCATACGAAATAGCATCACCTCAACTTTTAGCTCAATCATTTCCAGTGTCTAACTACTGGCATATGTAAGCAGAAAATCATTCGAGTTAAGACGAAAACTAAAAAATCCTTGCCAGGAGGAGCGCGAAATTTATGTAAGTTACTTACATGAATTATAGAAATGTGCAAATGACTTATTCATAACTGTAAGTGATTAAAATAATTTTCATATTTTTTAAAAAATTCAATCTAGCTTTATCAAAGAATTTTGGGGTTATGGGCCCGCTTTTTTTGAGAAGCATACCAAAAAAGAGGAGGAGGTGGTGCAGGAGGAACCAAAGCCCTTGCCGCCTGTATCCAAGGGAGAAAGTGGGAGGCAGAGGAGGCTCCACCCATCGCTCCGCCCACGGGATGCTCCCATTGTGTGTTGAGCAAGAATGGCAAATGGACTACTACTATTGATCAAATTTGATGGATTAAGAGGTTAAACTATGAACTGGAATTTGGGAAATGGACAGTAAAGATTCTCAAACAGGATTTCAGGTGCCAGGATGATAATAAAAGTAGTATCATGCCATAAACCTAATAAAAGAATAGTAACGGTCATCTTTGTAGCAGTCAAATGGAACACCGCTACCATTTGATCATTGATAAATTTTGTTCAAAATCGAAATGATGATGATACAAAGCTTAGAAGGTGGGTTACCAAAAATTGATTTAAAGCAGGAGAACATAAGCCGAAAATGAAGTTTCAGAGTGATTTTAACAATAACTTCAACAAAGAGACTAACACTACATCCTGTATGCTCAGATCCAAAAAGGACGTAAAATGCAATTGCAAACATCTTATGCCTGAGAGGAGACTCAGTAAAGCTTCACAGCTCAGATTTGAAGTGCAAACCAAACCTGGACAACCTTTACCCGGAAGACGGCCCTTCTGAACCCACCGTCTACTACAGTAACCCCGCAGTTAGGACGCGGGCGCCTGCGCTGCGGTCATTGCGGACGAGTCTCCTGGGGAACGCTTTATTTTCGAAAGTCACAACATTAGGATCCGAACGCAGTGGTAATCCTCACTTATCCAGTCCCATTCCTTTCTATTCGCTCCATTTTGCTATTCTACGGCCTAACTTTATCTTGTATCAATCAGGTTTCTAAACCTAGATTTGATTTCTTGAGCATTTTATGGATGGTTTTTCTCATTTCATTTTAATTACTTTTATACTGCCACATTTTGTCTGTGTGCATCCTTTCTGCTTCATGCATTGTCACACGTTCAAACGTTGTGAACTGCATTATGCAACGAGAGGAAAGCATTCGACCCACAATTCAAAGTACAACAGATGATTTTTAACTCTGCACGATACCTAATAGTTTATAGTTTGCTCTAAATGACTTCCGCTCAATACCAAGGCATTTGTTCGGTAGCATCTAGTATTCTGAGCAAACGCTGCTCATTTCTCGCTAATTTCTGGGATTGTGCATGGAATTTTGAATGTTCATAAGCCACTGCTTGTAGATCAAATTTCTGAGCTAGATTCTAGAACTTCTCAGCACTTGAATCATGCGTTCACGACATCTCTATCAAGCGTCTGAGGGATGAAGGTCATCACTGAGGAACTCGTCCGCTCTGCAGCTCAAATGCGTAGGTCAACCGCTCGCCTTATCGAAGCAGCCAATTAAGACGTGACCTCTGAGACGCGCTGACCTATCGTAGCCATCGCGATTAGAGCGGGTTCAGAAGGGCTTACACCCCCTTTACCCCGCTGGCAGTTGTCGAGGCATAGGATTAGAGAAGTGGGACAATATCTAATATAAATGGGGGAAAACCATGAAAACTACTATAACTGTTATAACAGACAAGTTTTGATGACTTTGGCTGCTTTTTGCAGCTTTTTGCCCGAGTCTGATTTTGCAACTTGAAAATTTTTGATGATTAATTTGGCGTTTACTTTCGCAAGTTCACCTTTTTGAAACACGACTTTTCAAATTTTTTCTCGCGAATTTTTCTCACCCTTTCCTTCCCCCGTTCCCCTCCCCCCACCGAGTAAAAAATTTATTGGAGTTAACAACGACTAAATTTTTCACTTCAATTATGACTTTCTTGGCTCATCAGACGACTGGCTTGATCCTGCAAAGGTCAACTAAACGGCTATCGATTAGCTTAAATGCAACTAACGCAGTGACTATCGTAAAAAACTGAAATTTATCTCAGGAAAATATAATGCAATGTAGAGTAAGTTTTCCGCGAAGCCATTTATAGGAGTTCATGAAAAATTTGAAATCGGGCCGAAGCTCTTAACTCTCTAAAAATTGTTCATCAATTCCAATTTTTGAAAGAATGCTAGAATTGCATTGATGTAAATTCATGCAAAAGTCCATTTAGAAGATTCGTTTTTCAAAACTGGTCACTAACTTGTTTTTCCCTTCCTTGTATCTCCACCCCAGGTCTTTTAAACTAGCCTTTTCCTTCATGGAATTCCTGAGCAAAAAAGGCAACACCCAGACTCAGAGCGGAGGGCGGAGCTTGGAATGTTGCCAGATCCTTCTTGGCACGCGGCCAGCTCCTCCCCGTTCCCCTTGGATACATGCGGTAAGGCTCCTGCACCGCCGCCAAAAATTTTCTGGGTACGTGGCGTTAGCGCCACCATCTTCATCAGAGAGAAATTTTTGCCCCCCCCCCCGGAAGGAAATCTCCCGGGTACGCACTGCCAGCGAGCAGCTATCGTAGGTTTCATAACTGTCCCATTACTCATTGGAGCATTGGCTTCGGATAATCTTACTGCGTGTTTTTCTGCGCAGATACTTCTGAAAGATTATGACCAGGGTCAGGCGTGGGCTGTGGCACGCCACACCTGGAGGGTCATAGAGTGGTCAGGAAGAGGGGGGGGGGTCGTTACCGTGATAGTGACGTTAGTGATATTATCTCATTCAACAATGTCTGATAAGCCCAATGTACAAAATACCAGCACTGATATTTGACCTACTGTCGTACACGCACAGTAAGCATCAAAAGAGTCCAGAAAGCATGAGAGCCCCATTTTCGTGATTAGCATGTCATATATCCTCTGAGGGCCAAGCTTCAGCGAATTTTCAGTTTCCTACTATTGGGACATTCAAGTGAGGTGGCCATTTTCGGCATGCTAACTTTGTTTCAAAGATGAGTAAACTACTTCTTTTTGCACTCATTACAGAGTACTATTACTTCTTTGCTCGTATTAGAAATCCCACTTCAACTAACCTCCAAACTCTGGAATTAAGAGCAAGCCAAAATCTCGTTTGTACCATTTTTCGCTTTCAATCTCTCAGACTAGAGAAGACCAATAGGCTCAAATTACTTTTGTGAAAGTTACGAGGATTCAGGCTATCGAAACTTGTTCTTGCCGCCTTCCATCGCAATTCACGTAGTAGCGCAGACTTAGCATATTACCGCAAGCCAATATTCGCAGTGTTTTCCATTTGCTTAGCTAAGGAAAAACGACTATATCTTTCCCTAGGAGAAATAATTCTGAACGAATTCTTGCTATGTAGACAAGAAGGTTTAGCAGTAGCAACCACATAAAAAAGACAAAGATTTGATTGCTTTGAAGGTAAGTTAATGGGGTGTGTCACAGCCTCTAAAA